TATTTGTGAAAATATTGAAAAGCAGGAATTTAAGGAGACCATGCATGCCAAGGTGACACGGTCTCTGGAAAGGGCTCCTCCAATCCCCATATACTCACCTTACTTGTGCTCCCTCGCAGCTGGCAAGAATACTGAATGCTGCCCCTGTGCTGATCACTGGCATGACTGGCAAGTGCTCTCCAGGGTTGCCAAAACAGCCGATCTCGGCGCTAGCTGCAGTGGTACAAGGGAAGGCAGATAAGGAAAGTATAAGGATTTGGTGGGGGGGTGCCTTTTTTGTTGATGCGGTCAGGTTGCCCTTTAGGGACAAGGTGACAGGGACTCTCAAAGGCCAAGTTCAACTTTGAGAATATGCTACACCTGTATTTAGGGTGTAACATGTTCCAGCTCCAGCTCTCCCCCGTGACAGTGGACAGGGGGTTCTTCTTTCCTGCACCCATGGTCAATTTAAAATTGGCATGGCTGTTCAGGGCTTAATCTGTAGAGCCGCATCGTTCATTCACAATGATCTGTGAATGAATAAACTACAAGTCCCATCAGCCACTGTGGCAGACAGACTTGTAATTCTCAATGGACTACAAGAGAGCTGGAGTAGTGTAATCGTAGTGTATTCACTCTTCCTCCGGCTAACTGAAAGCCATTTGGAGGTATGGGCAAGAAAGCTGGAAAGGGAGTGTGCAGGAGCCTGACATTATACCCACAAGCTACTGATTGTGGGTGTAATGGTTTGCAGACTCTTGTAGGATAAATAATTGCAGTAATATATGCATTTTTTTTTTCCTTAAAAGGTAAACTTGGCCTTTAAATGTAAGCGTGGCTATACACAGTGATTTTCGAATGGTTCCTGAACTGGGCCTGAATTCACTTTATGGGTGGCCCTATAAGCACTTTCCTGACATCTTTCAGTTAAAAAAAAAAACTAAATATATATATATTTTCTTTTCAACAAAAATAATAAATGTATTACGTAATAAGAAATCCCTACCACGGCACCACCTGCCTGGAGTTTGCATGTTCTCCCTGTGCCTGCGTGGGTTTCCCCGGGTACTCCGGTTTCCTCCCACACTACAAAGACATGCTGGTAGGTTAATTGGATCCTGTCTAAACTGGCCCTTGTATGTGTATGTATGAATGTACTATAGGGACCTTAGATTGTACACCCCGAGGGTTAGGGACTGATGTGAATGTACAATATATAAGTGCTGCGTAAAATAGACGGCACTATACAAGTACCTGTAATAAATAATAATAATACAAAGAAGAAATAAAAAAAATCAGTGGAGCTGGACAGAAAATTATCAGCCAAATAGTGGCTGTATCCAATCAGGTGCAGCTGCTGTCCGGGTATTCTGACAAACAGCGGCAAGGGCTGTCAGAAAACAATAACCGGCACTTCTGATTTGTCCATCCATGCTGTAGAGCACGGGTGTCAAACTGGTGGCCCTCCAGCTATTGCCAAACTACAAGTCCCACGAGGCATTGCAAGATTGACAGTTACAAGCATGACTCCCTAAGGTAGAGGCATGATAGGACTTACTTGTAGTTTCATAACAGCTGGAGGGCCACTAGTTTGACACCTTTGCTGTAGATCATAGATAGAGGAATTTATTAGATTTTTTTTTTCTGTTCAGGCTGCAGGATGAGTGAATTAAAATAAAATAAATACAGAAAAAACAAGTATATGGCCAGCTTAGATCTCATTAACACAAAAAAAAAATAAAAACAAACATCCAAATATTACAATGATTACTCAAGCTGTATACTCTCTAGAAATATGCACAACTAAGTGAAAGATTTCTGTTTACATGCCACGGATTATTACACACATCTGCTCTCTCTGCACTATTATTAAATAATCCCAGATTAGTTCTTTAAATATGTAACAAGTCAGTTTATGGAATTTTACTGCAACTGCTGAAGATTTTTTCTGTTACAGAAAAGCTTCCCTGACGTCGTTGTGACTGACAACCACCTTTCCAAAAATATCCATCCATCATGAGCATTGTGACTGGGAGCTAACCTTCATTTGTGAGCCTGGAACTTCTTAAAATTCCACTAGCCTGAGGGGCACTTGTCCCCCCAGGCCATGGTGCTATAGCCAAACTTTCACTCTATAGGCTTGATGGGATTTCAAGATGGAGGAGGAGATGGAGAGGGCTTATAGGGATGGGCCAAAGGCCTCCTCCTGCTGCTCCAGTCACAAAATGCCCATTTTGAGTATAGGCAGCGTACTACTCACAGCTGGAAGAGACCATGTAAACATAGCTATTTAAGCATCTCATTTATGCAACCTGGCCAAAAAAACAAGGGTGCTGATCATAGGAACCAGTAAGGGTACAGCTTTCATTATCCTTCCCTAGAAAAAAGGTCAGCTAGAGTGCCAATGTCTTCTATTAGCAACACAATCATTTCCCGTTATATTGTAAAACGCTGAGCAAACTGTTGGCACTACTATATAAATCCTGTATAATAATAATTTCCACACCATTTCTTAATATCTTAGAACAGCTACAGATTTAAAAGAATTCTTTAAAAATTATATTTTTTTTTTAACAAGAAAAAGATTAAAAATAGAAGATCTACATTTAAGGGTTAAAACTCCTCAATAAACCAGTTTAGAAACTGCACAATTAAAGGTTTACAAAATCAACCAACAAACATTATTATAACCACAATAGATGGCTTGACCACACTGCTTGTTTCTATTTTCTACTTTGAGATTTATTCTGACGTTCAACATCTGTTTTTTTGTTTGCTAGCAAGATTATGTGTGAGCAGGTATATTGTATTCAAAAGGAACAATTAATCAAGAGGTTTCTATTTTTTTAAAAAAGGTTAAAATTTTAGAATGCTATAAATATATATATATATATATATATATATATATATATATATATATATATATATATATATATATATATCCATATCCAGAGTAATGCAGGATTGTTACACATGAAGAAACAAATCTCCCTATGAAATAGATGGGTGTATTCTTAAAAGGTAACTCAAGGACTAAACTCCATAAACAGCCCAGTAAAATATAAACAAAGTGAAATATTCCATTTTCAAGCAAGGAAAAAAATAAATAAAATAATGAATGCCATACTCTTATGTAATTGTTGTATGCCTATTTTTTTTAATTAAGTATATAAATACTGGGTTTCTGAGTGTATGAGAACAGAAGGTAAAAAGAAGGCACTTTGAACCAGTCCTTGATTTTGTATTTATTGCAAAGAAATTAAAAAGGATATATGCATATATAAACTATTTCTCTATAAATATAAAATGATCTTCTGAAAGAAAAAACAAAAAAAGAAAAAAAAAAAAAAAAAACAGAAAACTACACTTATTTGGAAAAAAAAAAAAAAAACACTTTTTTTTTTGCCAGGGCATGAAAATATACATTTTAGGAAGCTAAAAATCAGACAGACATACTCAATATATATTGAAATCTGGAGACCAAGCAAGCAGGATGTATGGTGGTGAATTAAAAAGGGGTATTGTGGTGGTGCAAAGGAGGGGGGGGGGGGGGGTATTACCCTATAGCAAAATATAAAAGGCTTAAAAAGAAAAAAGATCTATGTAATAAAATAGCTATTGAAATAAAAATCATATGCATGACAATTAGCTTATGTGTGGTTCTAAGAAGGATTAAGAAAAAAAAAAACAAACAAAAAAAAAAAAAAAAAAACACATGACTTGTGGTCTACTCTATGGCTCTTAATAACTGTATTAACTCAGCCAATTTAAAGCGTCCATTACAGCTTTTAACCACAAACAAAGCAAGATTGCATTCATTCCACAGCAAAATTTGCTCCACGCCCTGTTGCTATAAACACGCTGCTATGCAGGAAGGGGAAAAAAAAAAAAAGAAGAAAAAAAAAAAAAAAAAAAGGGGGGGACAAAATAATACATTAATTTAGCCTATTGTTATGCAGCTGCCTAATTAACCCCCAGCACAATTAACTGTGCTCACTTTGGCAATTACCTAGTTAAATCAATCTGTGCTCTGCCAAATGGGGATTCCTAGAAGATTTGTATCAGGAGCTGACAAGGTTAAACAAAGGCGGACCTCAGAGAATTTTTAACAAAAGAATCAACTTTCAGCTTGAAATGAATGAGAATATGGAGAGTCACTAGTTTTACCGGGGCAGAGAAAAGTGCTTTACACAGTGAGCTCTACTAGGAAGGAAAAAAAAAAAAAATCTAAAAAATATTTAAAAAACAAAAACCCCCCGACCTTAAATAAGTAATAATTGTAATTCATGTTGGAGCTCAAATGTTATGTTCCAAGTGTTAAAAGCTTTCAAAATAATACAAACATTTGAGGATTTTTTAATAATAATATCAAAAATGTAAGCAAAATTAAACTGAAAAAACAGTTTGTTTTAAATTATTCCATAGGTTCTGCTTTCTCCTTAAAGGAAAAAAAGTCAATCTGAAAGAAAAATATAAAAAAAAAACATAAAAACAAACCAAAAAAAAAAAAACTGATGAAAAACTATACATGATCTTCAAATTTCAGGCTTTAATTATAAAAGAAGGAGCTGTTGGATTGTGGTGACACTGCCTGACTGCAAGCAATGAGTCCAAATGAAAAAAAAAAATGATAAAATAAAAATGGAACTTGGTAAAAGGTCATGGTGCAAGCTTGTGGAAGGCCAAAAGTTTTTCTTATTAGGCTAAAGATAAAAAGCTGCTTACAAGTGCTTTCAAAGTCCTTGTTTGTAAGGAACTCCCCACCCCCCCTCCCCAAAAATAAAGCAATTTTATCTTTATGCAGATGACGTAGTGAACAAAAAAAGTTTTTTTAAAATCTAAGACCCAGGAGCCTTAGAACCTCCGAAGAGTTAAAACATTCTACATTTTGTTTTTTCTCTTAAAAAAGGCATGATCTGTAGTCATTTAAATACAAAATATACTTACAAAATGTTACAACTATTATTTACATGAAAAACATACACACTGTACAAAAAGGAGGAGTCCAAGGTCAGGCACCCTCAGACCGTAGTCTCCCCCTGTTTACTGTTGGTGAGTCTGGTATAAAACTTTCTCCACGAGTTGAGCGTTTTGCCTGACCAAATCCAGAAGCCAGACGTTATTCCGACAATTAAAGTCATGAGATATTTGATCATAAAGACCGTAAAATCCGGACTCATGGGAGGGTGGTTGGTACTGGGGCAAAGGATGGCATAGGTCTTGCAGCTCTGGCTCACCCAACTTTTCTCCCATTGTTCCCTGAAGGCTTGCTCGTAAAAATAACAAGCAATAACGATGGTGGCGGGGACGGTGTAGAGGACGCTGAAGATTCCAATCCTCACCATCAACTTCTCCAGCTTTTCTGTTTTGGTTCCATCGTGTTTCATGATGGTTCTAATCCTGAAGAGGGACACAAAGCCAGCCAGGAGGAAGGACGTGCCAATGAACAAGTAAACAAAAAGTGGGGCCAATACAAATCCACGCAAGGCATCCACATTATTGATACCAACGAAGCAAACTCCGCTTAGGATATCCCCATCGACTTGCCCCACCGCCAGGATGGTGATGGTTTTGATGGCTGGCACTGCCCAGGCGGCCAGGTGAAAGTACTGAGAGTTGGCCTCGATGGCTTCGTGCCCCCATTTCATCCCGGCCGCCAGGAACCAAGTCAGGGAAAGTATGACCCACCAGATGGAGCTGGCCATGCTGAAGAAGTAGAGCATCATGAAGAGGAAGGTGCAGCCCTCCTTCTTGGTGCCCTGGGCCACCGTCTTGTAGCTGTCCTCGGAGAAACGGTCATTGCAGACCACCTTGTCCTCCAGCAAGAAGCCGGCGATGTAGGCGATGGCCACCATGGTGTAGCAACCGGACAGGAAGATGATGGGGCCGCTCGGGGTAACTGAACCGCTTCATGTCCACCAAATAGGTCAGCACAGTGAAGAGCGTGGAGGCGCAGCACAGCACCGACCAGATTCCGATCCAGATGCGGGCGAAGCGCAGCTCCTCAGGGGCAAAGTACATGAGCCCATGGACTTTCCCAGCCTCACAGGGGGCTCCGCAGTCCTTCTCGCCTAGGAAGTGGTAGTTGACGTAGGCGGGCACTTTGAGGGCCCTGGGGCAGGTGAACTTGTCCCGATAGGGGGACCGGATGTTGGGGTTGCTGGTCCAGAGCTCAGGCAGGGCCGGGGTGGGGGTACCCTTGTCTGACGTGTTCTGCCCCACGCACAGCTCGCCGGCGCCGTTCACCGGAAACTTCTCGCAGCGCAGGCTCTCGGGCCACTGGAAGCCAAACTTGTTCATGAGGGCCTCGCACCCCTGCCTGGCCCGTTCGCACAAGGACCGGCATGGCGGCAGAGCCTGCTCCAGAACCGTACACACCGGGGCGTACATGGAGCACAGGAAGAACTTGAGTTCTGGGGAGCACTGTACCTTCACCAAGGGGTAGAACTGGTGCACCTCCAGCCCGGCGTCCTCCTGGTTGGTGTGCCCCAGAAGGTTGGGCATGATGGTCTGGTTGTAGGCGATGTCGGTGCACAGGGGGATGGTGATGGGCTGGCAGTAGCCATGATCCGGGATGGAGATGCCTTTCTCCCCATTATACTGAGCCCGCACCGACAGCAAGCCCCACAGCAGCAGCAACGCCAGCAGGCTGGAAAGTTTAGAGGAGTCCCGCCGTGCCATGCCGGGATGATCCCTCGCCAGGACAGTGCAGCAGCATGAAGCCGGCCCGGGCCGCAGAATCCGCCGTGCGCTCGCCCTCTCTCCCGCGGACTGCACACCGGAGCGGAGCGCAACTCACTCTGACCATTTGTGTCAATCCTTCAACTCGTCTGGGCTGTTTCCAGGCTCCCCGCTGCCCGCCTCTCGCCTGGGAGGGAGGAGCCTTGAAACCGACGCCAACTTCTAATGTGGAAGTAAGGGATCCTCGCACAACTCTTCCCTCCGAACTGTCGTCCGGGGTTCGAGGCTCGGGGAGGGCGGATCGTCTCCTCCGCGGAGGGAAAAAAAGATATAGAATTCAAACCAGGATAAGAACACCTTATGGAAACTACAAAATGCACATTTATTGTAACCATGACCATTCACTATGCAATCCCATTGTAAAATCTTCTTTAGATCTCCCATCAACTGTGTAGGAGGAGGGGCGGTCTGATTGGATAGTAGTTGAATTGATTGTTCTTTGGCTGGCCATACATTATACAATTTTCTTGAGATTTTTGGTCTAGATTTACCAAAAACCATATAATAGGAGGCAGGGGCAGACTGACCATTTGGAAACTCAGGCCCTGCCGGGCCCGGGGTCAGTAGGGGGCCCCATGAGATGCCCCTGGTACCTTTTTCATAAGCTTTTTTGAGTTTGGGCAAGGATACAGGGGCCCCATGATCCCCTATTGCCCAGGGGCCCCATGAGTTGTCAGTCCGCCCCTGGTAGGAGGTCAAACCTATCAACACTTTCAATTGTATCCAATTAGTCAGGCTCTTGCACTACATAGTTGAAGGTAAATCTAAAGGAAATTGGGCAGAAATTGGATAGAAAATTGTATAGTGTATGGCCAGCCTTAGTTGATATATCTATACACGCGGATAATATCGGGTGAATGATCGTCCCTTTTATTTCGCATGCTAGTCTCGTATCCAAAGTAAGAAGGTTGCTAAAGTTAGGAAAGTTCTTGTGCGACATAATAAAAATTCAGAAGTGATGTCATGTATTTGTATTGTATTTTCGTCTGAAGACTGTACTGGTTAAAGAAAATTTCACAATCTGGTATCATACATCGAACATTTTTGTGCTTTTCTCTTGGAATAAGTTCGGACGATTGTTAGAAACCACGGGGCCTCCTACAGGCAACTTGATAGGGCTCCTCCAAAATAAACCCCACATTTTACTGTGCTTCAGTTTGAATGAACACAAGGAGTCATCAGTACAGATCACTTGTGTTCATTCAGGGAAGGAAGGGGTTGGTAAATGTGACATATGCTGCCGGTGGGAAGGAGAGGAAGGATGGGGGCACACGAGGGTCTGGGTAACAGGGGGGAAACATTTGGTGCACAGGGAATGTGATGGGTGCATGGGGAAAGGGAGGCAATTACTTGAACCTCTCCCATGTCTTTGCAGCAGCGGTAGAGAGAGCCATACAGAGGATCAGTTCTAGTAATTGCCCCTATCCCGATCACTCTCCCTGCCCATATCCACTTCACCAAGCTGCCTGGGCCCCTTTGCTGACCTGGGCCCTGTACAGGAGGACTGGTGATATCCCCTTATCCATGGCCCTAGCTGTGTACAAGTGATCGGATTATACAATTGCTTCAGATGCGGTAATTTCCATACAGTTTTCTGATGGTGTATACAGGGTTTAGAGAAGAATGTACAATCTGACTGCAAAAACATATGGTGGACTGATTGGTCCATCGAGTCTTCCAGTTTAATTTTTGTTTTTTTGTTTTTTGTTCATTTCTTTTTTTTTGTATAGTGTATGCAGTGTCGGGACAATGTCACCTATCGCCCCAGGCAAAGATGCTAAACAGTAACCCCCCAAAGTGTACAAGCATTTTGCGCCAGCAAACCTCCCCCCCACCAAATAAAAAAAACTTCAAGCACTAATCTGGTAGGTTAATTGGCTCCTGTCTAATTTGGTCCTAGTATGTGTATGTATGAATGTGAGTTAGGTTAGGGACCTTAGATTGTACACCCCTTGAGGGTTAGGGACTGATGTGACTGTACAATATATATGTAAAGTGCTGTGTAAATTGACAGCGCCATATAAAGTATCTGAAATAAATAAAAAAAAAAAAACACAAAAATAATCTTCACACTTACCCCCAAGCATACATTTCCTTTGCAAGCCAAAATTCTCCCCAAACAAAAATTCCCCCTCTTCTAGCACAAGTCCCCCCTCCCAGCTCAAATCCTCTCCCTCCCCAAATCCCCCTCTCCCAGCACAAATCCTCCCAAATCCCTTCTCCTAGCACTAATCTTCCCCACACCCGAAATCCCCCTCTCCCAGCACAAAACCTCCCAAATCGCTTCTCCTAGCACTAATCCTGTCCATACCCCAAATCCCCCTCTCCCAGCACAAATCCCCCATATCCCTTCTCCTAGCACTAATCCTGACTGCACCCCAAATCCCCATCTCCCAGCACAAATCTCTCCAAATCCCTTCTCCTAGCACTAAACCTGACTGCACCCCAAATCCCCCTCTCCCAGCACAAATCCCCCCATATGCCTGGAGTTTGCATGTTCTCCCTGTGCCTGCCTGGGTTTCCTCCGGGTACTCCGGTTTCCTCCCACACTCCAAAGACATGCTGGTAGGTTAATTGGATCCTGTCTAAATTGGCCCTAGTATGTGTATGTATGAATGTGAGTTAGGGACCTTAGATTGTACACCCCTTGAGGGTTAGGGACTGATGTGAATGTACAATATATATGTGTAAAGCGCTGTGTAAATGGACGACGCTATATAAGTACCTGAAATAAATAAATCACCCTGGTGTGAACTAGCACTTTTTTCTTGTAAGAGGAAAACTTTCTGTACACTCTAAGGTTGGCCATAGATCATGCAGTTTTCTTTCCTTCAATCATGGGCTGAAGGAAGGAAAATAACTTGATTCCTCCCCCCCCCATCAGTGATGATGGGGGAATCCTTCCCGTTGTGCTATTGTATTCTGACAGCAGGAAGTTTCTCCACCATCAGAATACAATGATCACTGCTAGTAACTATAGCCACTGGCGGTGATCGTACTAAAAGATGACCATAGATGGATCAAATCCTAACTGGTTCAGCAGGGACTGGCCAAGATTCGATCCATCTATGGACAGGTTGATTGTACCCAAGTTCAGGGGCGGTCTGACAACTCATGAGGCCCCCCAGGCAATAGGGGATTATGGGGCCCCTGTGTCCTTGCCCAAACTCAAAAAAGCCTATGAAAAAGGGAACAGGGGCATCTCATGGGGCCCCCTACTGACCCCAGGCCCTCGGGCAGTGCCCAAATTTCCAAATGGTCAGTCCGCCCCTGCCCAAGTTGATTGATCACCAGCAATAATCACTGTGTTCTAATGGCAGGGATGGCTCCCTGCACTCCCCACCTTGCCGAAAGAACACAATAGCAATTACGTAAGGATATCCCCATCAACACTGACTGTGTTGATGTAGGAAACTAGTGATTTTCTTTCCTGCAATCCGTGGCTGCAGGAAGAAAATCACATCATCTATGGCCTGCCAAAAATTGCTGATAGGGTGGTTGTAATGAAGGCAATCGATAGACCAACATCAGTACAACCAGTCTGTCCATGAATGGATCAAAATTTGGCCATTTCCTGCTGAACTGTCCGAATTTCGATCCGTCTATAGCCAGCTTAAAGCGGTAGTAAACCACATCCAAAAACAAAGCACATTATGTAAAACGTATCTTAAAACGAAGTCCTCCAGCTGTCACTGCTGTACAGGCTTCCACTTTCACCTAATCTTCCCTCCGGGTTCGTGAGCTTCAGCCATCTGACTGGCTGAGCCACGATGGTGTCACTCCTGGGCATGCGCATAGGAGTCTCAGGACATGGCACAGTGCTCTGATGGAACAGCCAGGCTACGCCATTCCTTCAGAGTGCATGCACTGGCTTAAAAAAAAAACTAATATATTCATTTTAGCTTTATTGTAAACTTACCTGTAGGTAAAAATTGCATAGGGATAAATATGATCCTTACTGAATCACATATATAGAATGTTATAAGATGGCTGTATACTCCATTTTATAACTTCATATATTTCAAGTTGTTTATTGCAAAACATCTATCTTGATTGGAATTGTGCAAAACGCTATGTGTGGCAGAAAACTAACACTGCACATCACCCTGAACAC